GTCTGTCTTTACGTCTAGATATGACGTGGGTGTCTTCAAGGCATGGTGATCAGGATTGTGCTGAGCGAGTGCGTTTACCATCTTCGGCTGCATCGCCACTCACCACGGGTGGTGTAACAGTCAAGCATTAGGTAGTCCCTCATAAAAACAACAGTTTTTAGTTAAAGAATTTATTTTTAATAAATGAAACATTTTTTATTGAAAAGGAGGCAAACGGTTCGCAGAAGTCACAACTTTGTTGCCAGTCTTTGAGACTCTATAATAGTTTTATAAAATATTTTGTTTCTTTTGATAGAAACCGTTTGGTAGAATCTAAAAATAAATTCTGTGGCTGCGATGTTTCCTTTGTTATTGTATGATTCATTTTAATATGTTATAAATATTAATAATGCAGAACAAGAATGTTATAGAAAATAAATAAAAACACCCATAATTTTTTTCATTGTACTAAATTCATTAGTTTAAAACATTTTAAAAAGATGATCTTCACAATTTATAAAAAAAATAATTTATTTTTTAAAAAGCATTACTAGTGTAAGATAACATTACGCAATGATAGGGAAGCTTCGTGCAAACACGGTACAAATAAAATAATATTTATGTATTTCCGTTCTGTTTCTTTTGCTACATTAGACGGTATCAACTAATTGTGAATACAAATAAGTTATCAGTCTAATGCTCAAACATGCGGACCCAGTTGCTCTGAGTTATCGAACCCAATTTTTCTCGGTCCCTAAAAGGTCGTATCCTGACTTTGATACGTCGAGGGCATTTGTCACCACATATGCTTATGGGCAAAGCGCGGCGGGTGTTTTAAGAAATGCGAAATCCCCGGAGGATTATTCGACGTCTTCGGGGACTTAATCCTTTAAATGCGTGGATATTTTATTCGAGGAGGTATTAGATTGAAATAAGGCATTACAGCGGTGTTTGGCAGTACTTTTTGGCTTGTTTACACCCAATTGCACGCCCTAAAAGCGAATTAAAAAGTAAAGCAACAGTCTGTATATATTTTTTCTTATATGAGAAGGTGGAAAACGAGCTCGTTTACCTGGTGTTAATAACAACCGCCGGCCATTGACTTTTAAAACACTCGTAGAGTTGCAAATGCCTTGTCACCTTTTAATAAACTGAGCCCCGGCTACTTCACTCATTAGACGAAACACAGCAGTATAACACTTTCACTTAACGCTGGTCTTCTGTGAGGTTATATTACTTACACGGACGGACCTCACAATTCATGTAACAGCAAGATGCGTAACTCTACAACAGTTGGCAAAGGCCTCTTTTTTACCAAGGGTTAGCATATAGTCCAAAACGCAAACCCACCACGGACATTTAAGATAACCTGGGCATTTCGCAACGTTGTGCTATATATAAAAACAAGCGTTTTTGTACTACAATGGGGTAGACAGAGAAAAGACTAAGACTAGATGTTTAATTTAGTATCTGTTATAGTACGCTCTGGGAGAAACAGTATTTAGACGTGTAAGAAATATGAAAAATGAAACTTAAATAATCTCTTTCTAAATATTTGGCCCTTTCTCTATCTTGCACTTTATTGGGATTCTAAAGCGTTAGCTTAGATATATTCGATGTTCCATCCGGTAAGCCGTCACTCCCTTATATGATTAGTTGATTTTATATCTAAATAAATAAAAAAAATTAAACAGTTTGCGCGCTTTACGGAAAGAGAATTGTATACATTTCAATCAATTATTTACTCTGATATCTTCATTTGAGGTTATGAAAGTATTAAAAAATCAGGATTTTTATAAGCACTACGTGTTGGTTGATGTATGTTTATTGCTGTTGAGAATGGGGAGGGGGGAGGCAAGTTGTTTAGTTGTTAATATAATAAGCAACGCAGATGAAGGGTATTATCAGTTTGTTATATATGACAACTTTGTTAAAAGTACTTTAAAATAAAGACGCTTAGTTCTGCTTGTTTCATAAGCCAAGGTTTTAGCTTAGGCACCAGGGTTCGTGGGTTCGTTCCCACACGGAACAACTATTTGTGTGACTCGCAGATAGTTCTGGATCTGGGTGTTTGTCCACGAGAAATGTATGTTTGTAAAACGTCCTTACACGCAGGCTAATGATCCTACAGTAAAAGTAATGTTTTCATAAGAAAAAATGAGAAATTATATATAAGAATTATTCAGTAATCTGTACATAGTACATACAGATAAATAAAAGTACCTGGAGGACCGAGCTTTGCTCGGTTTGTTCTTTTTTGGTAAATCATGTATTTTGGAAATTTCATTTAGATACAATTTACTGAGTAATGAAATATGCATAATATGTTTCGATCTTACCGACGTAATAATAAGAAAATATGAACTGGTGTATTTCACAAAAGAAAGAACTTTAAAAAAAAGGAAAAAATAATAAAATAAGAAATAAAATAAAATAATAAAAGCTAAAGAAAGCAATGATCTGGAATCGAAAAAGAAGTAAAAAAACTAAGTGTGTAAATGATCGTGATACGAACCACGGCCTTCTGTTTCGTGGCTGTTTGTTAGCGGCCGCCCGATTACCGCTATTATAAAATTTTTTTTTTCAGTGAAATTTACCGTCGTATTCGAATAATATTTTTCATTCCCTGAAAACTGGGATAAAACGACATTTTCTAAAAATGAAACCTAGTCAGATCGATTTTTCGCTTCCGAATCTACGCACATACAATGAAAATCGCTGGAGCCGTTTCCGAGATTCCAATTATATATATAAGAATTGCTCGTTTAAAGGATAAGAAGATTAGTGTCTGTTTTTTTAAATATTAAAATAACCGCTTTTTACTTAATGCATATGAAAATACATACACATTACATATACTAAAATAACATTTTTTACAATTTTTGTCTGTCTGTCTGTCTGTCACGGCTAATCTTTTAATCTCAGAAACATCTGGGCCGGTTTCGACGGGACTTTCACACACAGATAGATGATGTTTTAAGAAGTAACTTAGGCCACTCTTATTTTAGACATTTTAAATTCCAGGCGTAAGTATTCTAATAAACGACGAGATAGTGAAAAAGCTTTTATAATGCGCTCGAGGGCATAAACGGAGCTTTGAAAAATCCTCGGCAATTTCTGCGCCTTCGGGCGCCAAATGCGGCACTTCGGGATTTCCTTTTAAAGAAGGCAGCCTTGTGTGCACACGATAATTGTGTTTACGAAAGCCAACTGACTGTAGGAAAGGGTTGTTTGCATATTTCAAAACGCCTTGAGCACGTGAATATGTTCTTGCATATGCTAACTGATTAGAGTCTGGGAGCATTTCGATTCCGTACGACGAATCCCTTCCAACGATGTTATATAAACAATATTAACTAAAGTAAACATTTTCAGGTCGTAGGCGGCAGGTGGTGTGCAAGCTGAGTTTTATTTGCTAGCTTGCTAGAGTAAAGTGATTGCACATTTATTAAATTAAAATTTAGGCATAATGTTCATACCGGTTTTACATATATAATAATAAAATTATATGTATAATAAAATTATAGTTTCATTTTCTTCTCGAACTCGAGTCTCGACTAAAGAATCACTACTCTAATAAGTAACTTGTGATATCAGCGGCAGCAATATCGCGTATGCCCACTTCTTGTTGACAGCCAAAAAAGACCATGAAATTCTTCGTGCAGCTTCATTTATAGTACATATTGACACTTTCTTTAGTGTTGCCAACACAGGATAATTAAAAAATGATTAAGAACGACAACGCGACATGGCCAGTACGGGGTTCTATCAGACAGTGAAAGAACCCCATACTGGCCAGGTCGCTTGGCTGGCTGGCATACAGCGACATCGACTGGACGCAAGTGTCCATAACTTTTTGGACGTGACCGTACCGCGAATTCAATGAGGGAGGACCCGCTGGAGACTTGATTTTGATACACTCCTCCCGGCAACTGTCCGTGGATCGATTTTAAATTCACCGAACGTCTGGGACGCCGAGGAGATGATTAATAATCAAAGTTGCGGGTAAAATGTTTTTTTTTCTTGCTTAATCTTGTTGATTCAATTTCCAGATACTGATCCGCGTGCGAAGATAACGCGAATCTAAAGTAGATGCCTAAGCACGTTTTTAGAATTACTATAAATGGGGCTTCTTACGAAAATATAGACAATTTTAAGCACATTTTACGTAGACCTTAGAAAGTTTGATCACGAGTTTTAATTAAAAACTATTAAGGTTAGTTTTTAAAATTACGTTTTCGGGACTATGTTACATCACTTACTACACGAAGAAGTCCAAACAATTATCAGCAATCAAAATTAATAATCATAATGCAACATTTAAGGTACAATCAATTCATCCACCCATCTAGCAACAATGTTTAAGGTACAATTCACCCACGCGTCTAGCAATTCGTCACTACCAATACGACGTTTGTATAATTTTCGTATAAATATCGGTACGTACTGCGTCGAATTGGGGGGCATTCAATTACCGTAATGGAGTCCATTTTTATTGCGGGCCCAGGACCGAAACTGGCGATATTTTCCACTCGCCTTTTACAGTTTGAACTATTAATAGTGTGGACCCTTAAACAGTAAATGACGCTAAAACTAATTCTAAGCGTTTCTGGAAACTCCTACTGAGAATTATACTGTGGAGAAATTTAATTATAATAGGCCAAGAGTCTATAGTTAGTGCAAAAGCGTGCATATATCATAGTTGCATACAATTATTTCCGTAACGTTATTATAATAAACAGCATGTCATTATATCGTTGATTTCAGACCAGACCATATTAAAGAAATAACAAGAAAGGCTAAGTCCTCCTCTGTACAGAGGCTATCAGAGCATAGTACACCAAGCAACCCCATTGCGGATTGACGCAATAAACAAATCTTCGAAACATTTTGTTATTATTTCGAAAATATGCAAAGAGCTATCACGGCTATTCAAGTAACAAAGAAACAATAGGTTCTTGTCACTCTCTTCATGGATAACAAGCGAAGTAAAAAGTCAAATAGATCGTAAAACAGCTTTACACGACTGTACACATACAAAAGCACCGTACTTTGGTGCACACGACTGTACACACGTCAAGAGGTTGGGAGCAATTCGGCCTAGAAAGGCCCCACATCGCGCCCACATTCCAACCCGAATTCCGGCCGAACGCTAAAAAGGAAACGTGACACTTTAACGAACTATTGTCCGTGACAACGTGTTATTACGTTACCTTTTCGTCTAACGGCGGCAGCGGGAACGTAGCGTCAAGCGCGAACTGTCCCCGCAAATAGTGGTTCCATGCAAATTATTTGGATTGTTACCTATTGAATTGTTACCTAATAACTGGGGTTGTCGTATTTAATTGCGTTGAGAATACCGTTCTTGTTCTATGAATCCGACTAATAAAAATATTTGCAATCATCCACTTCGAGGGCCACCTCAATTAACAATTGCAAAACTATCCATGGGAGGCGGTAATCCCTTAATATCAAGTAACAACTGCTTGTTTGCACCCTTTCGCAGAAAATAAAAAACTTTATAATGTATAAGAAGCTGTATCAACCATCATCAAAATTTTCAATTCTCGTGTGTCTAATGCTGTAAAATATTAAGAAACACAAAAATGAAACGCTTCTAAAATTAAAATTGAATAAAGTTAAACAGGTCTGCGTAACCCTGAAAACGCTAACGGCAATGAACTTGGTACCGGCTTTGACCACAAGAACAATGCTTTTTTGTTCTGCCGGACATATTTACGCATCGTCACAAAAGTTGCATATACTGCTCACACAACAAGCCCAGTACTTTTAATGATAATTGAAATAGGTGCTAACTTTAAATTAACTCTACTTTCAAAGATATTAGATAAACATTGAATGTTGTTTTAAGTACCGAGGATTTGCACCGAATAGTTATTAGTTCGTTACAAGCACCTCCTTGTTATAAGGTTGCTTCTGAATTAATGACCAATAAATAAAATTTAATGAATATAAGAAAATTCCACATACGTATTACAGAAAAATAATTACATAGTGATTGTTGTGGTATATATTGACCATAATAATTAGATGTAATGATTTCATTAAATTATTTAAGTCCATCGTAACATGTTTAACATTTATTTTGTCGAGTACCTTTGTAGTAATTTAAAACTTTTGAACATTTCAATGACGCGATGCTTTTATCAAACGACATTATAAGTGCCGGAAAGGTTAGACGAGGCTGGAAAATCTCATTTGTGAAGTAGCATTTTACCTTTGTTTAAGCAGACATTAAGTATTTAAAAGTACAATTTACAGCACATTATTATTGCTACAAGTATTATTATATTTTATTATGACCATATTATAAGAGAATGCCATAAGGCATTAATTCCGCCCATTGTAGCCTCTAACTTAAGGTGTAAAAATAAAGTATAAATAATATTTACTCTTACTGTAAATAATATTTATACTTTATTGAGACAGGAAATTAATTAAATATATCAACATCATTATACTGTCCGATTGTACGGCTTATTAAATAAATGAATAAAATTAATTATATATTCCAGGACATATTTACACAACGTTATATAGTCCCAAACTAAGCAAAGCTCGTTCTATGGGTAACTGATAAACATACTTTTTTTTAGTATAGAAATATACACACAGACACTAGAAAATCAATACGTTCATCGCACAATATTCTTCCAGTAGTGGGGATCGAACACGCACCCTCTGACGCAGGAGGCAGGTCCACTATCCACTGCGCCAATCGGGTTGCCAAATTAAAAACACGAGTCGGTAGGCAAACGTGCTGTATCCATTCCCGTGGGTCGACGAACCGGTCCACGCATAAAATTACGTAAATAGTGAAGTGCACAAACAACACGCTCGCCTTGATCCATTCATCAACGCCCACGGGCGAGCGAGTGAATGAGAGTTCACTCGAGGCCACGCTCGGCGCCATTCTGCATTGTGCTCACGTCTTCGGCCTATCCACATGTCGCGGCGCCCGATGTTATGGGTATTAATGAGCGGCCGTCGATAGTTCGAAGAAAGACGATTTTAATTACTTCTATAGTATTCATGCTTCGATCGGAATACGGTACTGAAGAGGATTTTAATTACGGGGGCAGCAGTTTCTGCTGTTTCATGAACAGGCCGGCTCGCCCGAAGAAGTACTGAGGCATCAGGAAGATCGACGGAGCGTAGTAGTGATTGAGAATTTCGTTCACCAATGTAGTAGTGGCACGTAACAGCCTTCACTGTTGCACGATTGGGCAAGTCCGTCCCGGGGAGTACCACGACCTCACAGAAGACCGAAGTGTTACTTCTGCGTTTTGTCTGGTAAGCGAGGTAGCCGGGGTCCACTTTATTAAAAGGTGGCAACGCATCTGCAACCCTATCGGTGCTGCAAGTGTCCTTGGGCGGTGGTAATCACTAAACAGCAGGTGAACCGCCAGCTCGTTTGCCATCTTCGCACTTTAAAAAAAACCGTCATAAAAGTCGCCAACAACTCGAACCTCCGAATGATTGAATGTCCATGGGTGTAATTACTGTTAATCAGGTAAACTGCTTGCTAGTTTCTCCCCTAAAAGGAATCGACAAATATGGCGGTTTTACACACGTTTATCAGTAGAGTATCATAGGTCGAAATGACGGTGATGGATTAAATGTTCTTTTACCGTTTTCAGCTATAAATTAGGTAGACTTCAGCCGTCAGTTTTTCTCATACTCAGCTATAGTGATGCAGAACTAACTAATTGTAATACATGTTATGAAAATTCTTTTTGTATTTTTTTTAACACTTCACCAGTTCGTTAGAAAAGCAAAATGCAAACTTTGCAGCGGGCTAGATAAAATGTGCAGAGGTTGGTCCTGTTAAATGTGTTACAATTTTTGATATAATCCGCAGGACTAAAGTGGTGGGCTAATTTTTTTTTAAATAAGGTAAAACACATATTTATTCCTCTGTAAATATGAGAGAAATGGTTACCCACCAGCTGTTGAGCTGCCTGGGATAGCGATTTGCAGTCCAAGTAGCATGCTAACAGACAGACTATAATTGTAAAAAATGTTATTTACATACCAAATATGTACCGTGTATACATTCATATGCATTTAGTAAAAAGCGGTTACTTTTATTACTACAAACAGACTTAAATTTTATTCATCTGTATGTATAACTAAGTTATTTATTCACATTATGTATGTTCATTATGTTCTTCATCGTATTAATAATGATGCCGTTGAAGCACTTCATACATTTTAACGCCAAATTGCTTCTTTCAACGGTAAGCAATTGCCTGTTTGAAAAGTCAAATGCTTGCGAAAACAAGAAGGCCGTCGATCATTTCCTATTTCAAATTTAATTTGTCAAGGGTACGGTTAGGAAGTAAGTAATTTCAGTAATCAAATTTAGTTGAATCCTCACTAATATTATAAAGGCGAAAGTTTGTATGTATGGATGGATGTTTGTTACTCTTTCACGCAAATACCACAGAATGGATTTTAATGAAACTGTACAATAATATAGCTTATACATCAGAATAAGACAGAGGCTATAATTTATATTAATATTTTATGTAAATCTGCCTTTCTGTCTGAATATTATGCCATCAGCCTATTTAACGCAGACGAAGTCGCGGGCAGCAGCTATTTTAAAATATATTTAAAAATAGAACTAATGGATGAGTTTTTAAATAAAGAGAATTTGCACGGTTCGCAAGCTAGTAAATTGATAAATTAAATCTCTAGCCAAAGATTTGCTTCGCGGCGGAGTGGAGTCTATACTTCTCTCGTGGGACTGTTAAGAGGCTAGTACTAAGAAATATTGTTACATCGTACAGACGGAATGTACATTGTCATTAAAATAAAAGAAACATTTAAGAGAAAACAATGAGAAAGTAATGAAATAAATAATACAAATAAAAGCGGAACAAAAAAATAATGTATACTGTACATTCTATTAAGAAATATAATCTGTGTGTAATAGAAAAAGAATTCACTTTGTACGATACAAGAAATTGTCATTCAGGAAGTGTAGGAATAAAACAATGAATACAAAATACGTCGACAGGTGAAGCGTATCACTTGCGAGGAACGACGTGTTTGTGATATTTACACGCGCTACGCCTATGTACGCGTGATTAAGCAATTAAATACTTAAACGCATCGCTATAAGGTTGAGAATCTTCCCGAAATCGTCGTGCAAACAATTTCAATAGACTCTCCTTGACAAGTGAGGTTTCCTAATATCTAAACCGAGAAAATCTTTTGTAACGGCATCGCATTGAAGACGTAACGTTTTCTGGATTCAGCGAGCGATTGCACACTTTTTTAAAAGTAGCCACCCACGCGAAAATTCATTTTTAGATGTGCGTCAAAACGTTGCTCTCAATTATATCGATGTTCAAACGCGAACTGGAATAAATTTAATATTCTCAGTTTTTACGTTCTCAAAAATACTGAAAAAATATTGTTTTTAATAATATTATTTGTCATGTTAAAAATGGTGTAGATGGGATATCAAAGGACGGTATGTAGGGGAAGTTACCATCAAAGGCCGCATCGCCACTTACAATCAGGTGGGATGGCAGTCAAGTGCGGGCCAGTTCAAAATAAAAATAAAAAGTTATAGTCAGAGAGGTATTAGACTATGGTGGGGCCACGCAGTAGTCTCTTCGCTGTTGCACGAATGGCCAGGTCCGTCCGGGGAAGTACCACGACCTTACGAAGACCGGTGCGAAGTGGAAATGTTACCCTTCTGCGTTTCGTCTGGTACGTAACTATGGGTGCTGCAATTGTCCATGGGTGGCGGTCATCACTTACACCAGGTGAACCATCAGTTCTCTTGCACGTAAAGGTAAAAACGTATAGTTATAATATATAACCCGCTTTACTGAATGTGGCAACACATTTGTAACCCTACATGTTGTATTTGTTCACGGGCGGCGGTTATCACTTAACATAGGGTGAACCGACAGTTCGCTTGGCACCTTCTTACATGAAAAAAAAAAAATTATGCACTGTTTAAAGAGTGAATAAATTTTTTAATGGACATATCTCAAAGGTTTTATTTTAACTTTTTTTATGCATTGCTTACTTGCAGGATAATATAATCCCGTTTTGCGAGGACGTTTTACAAGCATGTATGTAAGACGAACACCCAGATGCGAAACAATTATATAGTCACACGAATAGCTGTCCCGTGCGGGAATCGAACCCACGACCCCCGACGCCAAAGCCAATGTCTTGGCAACTGCGCCAAGGAGTCATGGAAGTCTGAACGTCGCTCTTCATTAAGGTGTACGATTACAACTACGGCAAAGGCTCCGCGGCCCGTGAGCGGCGAAATGAGCTCCAACAGACAGCGTGGCTCGTGCACGAATAGAATTCCAATAGAGCACTTATTGACAACTCTGCGTCGCTGACAAATGCTAATTCGGCGCAAACAACAGGATGTAATACATACGCGAGCGTTTATTGAAGTGTTATAGCAGCGTTGGGCTCTATGTAAAGGTTGTGGAGGTTTAAAAAGGTTCTTTATAATACAATTTAATTTTTTAGGGTTCCGTACCTAAACGGTAAAACGGGACACCATTAATAAGACTCCGCTGTCTGTCCGTTTGTCTGTCATATAACGACAAATACTAAAAAACAGAATAAAAAGTATTTAAGTGGTGCCTCCATACAACAGACTTGATTATTTTGCCGTTTTTTTACGGAGTTAATGGTAAGGAACCATTCGTGCGCGAGTTTGACTCGCAAGTGGCTGGTTTTTTTTTTTTTCAGAAAAGGATGGAACAAAAAGGACCTATACATAGAAAAAATATGGTACATTGAAAAATATTATCTATAAAGGTCTTTTATGGATAGAAATTTATGCGTATCTTGAATATAAAAATTCATCCACCATATACATCGCTAAAAATATATTCATTTATCTTGGTTGAGTTTTTATACACATATCTTGATAAAACGTGAGGATTCAAACGCAAACGAGAAATAACTTTTTTTATATAATTATACGGGGAGGCTTTTCTAAGTGTATCCATTTTTTTAAATTAAATTCTAGCCATAAATAATGTTATATAAAAATGATAAATATTTTAAATCACTCGTGAGTATTTAATTAAATTCATTTAAACTTATCTCAAAAAGTGCGTGATTTATACTCAACTCATTTATTTTACGCGCGATCATTTATAACTTAACACGCACACAAGTACGCACACAAGTTCGTTTGTGTGCGTGAACAGTAAAATTTAGGTATTTATGAATGACTACCGCGTTGTCAACAAGTTTTGTTTTTTTACGGAATAGAATGGTAATTTTTTACAAAAAGTTTGTTTGTATTTAAATAAACGATAATACTACCTAGTCTGAACCTCCTGTATAAATTTGGACACCTTTAAAAAAGTCTCCCTGTATTCCGTAAAATTTAATAGCATTTCTGTGTGTAGCTGTCGACTCTACTTCTATTTTATTTTACGAATGACAGTAACGTTAACGTGTTAAAATAGCGAACAGTAATAATTATATTAATCGGTTTATTGTAGTAGAGCTACGAAGCAGGTATTATACGAACGGGCAGGCTCGTTCGAAGAGGTACCACGAGCTTCCAGAAGACCGTGTGAAGTAGAAGTATATTTTTTTTCACGTCTGGCGAGTAAGGTAACCGGGGCCCACCTTTTTACGGGTTGGCAATGCCTCTGTAAACCGTTAGGTTACTATAGATGTCCATGGATGGTAATCGCTTAGTATCTGGTGAGCATCGCTTGCCAACTTTTCACGTAAGAAAAACTTTCATGACACACGGACCAATTATCTGTAGGTAACACAAATACTTGTCCGGTGTGTGAATTGAACCTTTGACCCCCGGGGCCCAAAAAACTTAATTACTGCGCCATCGAGTCATCCCATCAATAGAGATATTCAATACAAACGCAAATGATAACACGCTCA